TCCTAAATCACTCGTACGCACAATTTAAGAACAAATCTGTGCGTACGAACTGTTTTTGCATGAGGCCCAATGTTCTCACATGGTTTTATCTATGTGAGTCCACTTTAGAAATAAAAATGGGCAGATTTGGACCAGTTTTTATAATAAATGTATAAATGATGAATCAGAATCAGGATTCTTTTTGTTATTCTAGTTTATTTCAGTTTTTTTAATTATWGTTTTTTCTCCTATGTTTTTTCAATGTAACCATTTTGCACACCTTGTGCTGTTTCAACTATTGTCTTCTGGCAGGCAGGTGTGGGCCAGATCTGATCTCAAGCTGGCACTGCTGGCATGCGATTTTTCAATTATGGGTCAGGTCAGGCAATGATGGCACTGTTTTTAGGATGGCATGCTACAATAGGCCTGGTTGGGATTTGGTTTATGTGGGCCAAATCTGTCAATGCCACAAACGGCCCAGTTGTGGTTTGGTTTATGGTGCTGCCCCATGAATGGACCACCTCTGGCAAATTACATATGGGCCACAAAAGGGCCATCATTCTTTGCTGTATCTGGGTTGAGTGTTCATTGTCTGTGTCAGACAAGTTTTACTATGTGAGTTCATTTAACAAAAAATTACTTTTGTTCTGTGTAACATATACTTTTCAAAATGCTTGCCTTTAATGACTAAACATGTCTTTATTTAAATATGTTGAGATCTTTAAAAATACTAACATATTTCTATCAGAAATTTCACATCAGAAAACGTTTTCTAATAATAATTTGAGTCACATGCATAAAGGTGTCAATTTGAATAGAAGTGGCTGGGTATCAGGTTTAATGCTGCATTGTAAGTTTTGAAAAGCTGAAATGGGAAAACTCCTCCTCTCCTTAGTTCACGTAAATGGCTGCTTTACCCTTTCTCAAACCATCACTCTCTTGTCCAAAATCTGAACTATTTGGTTCACAAAAAATTGCTCTTACAATGCATCTTGGTTTGTCCAAAACATTTGACTTTTGAGCCAGGCAAACAAAGACTCTACCAACTTTACATTGTGTGCGAGGCCTGCAGTTTAATCTGCATGTGGGTCTATGTTACTGAATTGGGTCTCATACAGTTTAAAAGCTTGGAACTCCACATTAATTTCAAATTGAGAAAGATCCCTGGATAGAAAACTGAAGATTTTTCAACTACACAAAGTCCAGTTTATTTTTCCATTTATTTTTACCTTTTTTATTTATTTACCTTGTCCTGGATAACTGAGAATCTACACAAGCATACTGTCACACTTATGCTGACTTGGCTAGTACTACTTCTATGTTTACTGCCAATTCTATTTCTATCAGTGCTAAAAACATATTATTTTCTGAGGTCGTACTGTTTATGAGATGTTTCACTACCATAAATACACCCAGATTCCCCTAACATACCCTGTTTATAAGTTCAGATTCAATTAGCAAAACAAGTATCTGGTGTTTTTTGTGATATTCAGACTCATTAACTCTGCAACTAAATGAAAGAATTTAATACTCAGCTCATGATTAGAAATTTATATGGGATTAAACCTTCTGAAAAGCCTTGCCATTAAGCTTGCAGAAAAAACAAATCCATTTTTTTGACTACTCTATGTAAACCATCAGTGTCTTTGGACATGGTATTGAATTACTGTGTGCGTTTGTCAATAGCATTTATCTTCATGCTCAAATGCACTTCAAAAAGCCGCCCCTCATCTACAACATGGGACTTGGAGACAAAAGAACGAGAAGAGTTAACCTTGAAGTATTGATTTTCTGCCATCATGTACATGTACCATAAATCCACTATAAATCCATGGCTATGTGCTCATTTCTCTTTCTGTGTTTTTTTTCTTTCCGTTCTCCTTGTGCAGAGATCCTGAACGGGGGTGTTTATGTTGACCAGAACAAATTCCTGTGTCATGCCGACACCATCCACTGGCAAGATATTATCAAGAACCCCCAGGCTGAGCTGCTGGTGGTACCGTCCAACAACAGCAACAACGGATGTGAGTTAAGCCTGAAATTATCAATAAGCTGAGTTTTTATGTTAAAAATGACGCTCATTATAATATGGCTAATGGGCTCGACACACGGGGAGCGACAAACTACAGCAATTAACGGCTGTCAATCTCAGCCAGGGTGAAACCCGACACACGGGACGCAATAACGACGGCAGTGTTGCGAATTGCGCTCTCAGGTCGCTTGTCTTCACAAAATTTGATTGGTTCTACTGCTGCTTCTTGTAAAGGTTGTTGGTGATTCACAAAAAAGGGGTGTGTGCATTGCGGACGTGTAAACTAAACAAATCTTGCGATGCTAATGATATTGAAAAACAAACACACATCAAGATACAGTTTTATGAGGAAAAACTTACCATAAACTTCACCCTGGTGCCAATAAATTCCCACAAAGCTTTTTAGTAATCACTTGGTGAAAGTGTTAGCTAACTGCAGTGTGTAGCATACTCTCCTCTCATTGGTCAGTCAATGAAACCCTCGCTGATTGGTTGTACGCTAAGCGACAGCGACAAAAGTTGAACATTTTTCAACTTTCATGTGTCGCGTCGCAAGCTCGTGTGTGCACGTCTACGTGTACGAAATTTCACATGCACTATTTTCACCGGTCGCTTAGCTGGAGGAGGGCAAGCGATTGTCGCCTCACCGCACAGGCTCCATAGGAAATAAATGGAGAGCAAGCAACGTCGCCGCCCGTGTGTCGAGCCCTTTATTAGGCGAGCATGTGTGTACTTTTGAATGTACGATTTGCAAAATACTGAATGAATCACGGTGCAGTTCTAAGGCAGCCGACTTGGGACTGGAAAGTTGCGGTTTTAAATCCCTTCTATGCCCATATGTTGTGGTGTCCTCGAGCAAGACACCAGTTCCTAACTGCTCCCTGGGCGCATACCTTTTTGCCCACTCTCTACTTGACTGGATCTCAGATGAGACGGGTTAAATGGAGAGCACAAGTTTGTCATTGTATGGGAACAGATGATGTCAACATACATTTCACTTCCGTAAAGCCCCATATTCAAATGTGTGTAATTCGTGTACAGAATAATAATCTTCTAGCTTAAATTCATTAAAAAATTGTATCATATGTGTATGATGCCATCCTTAATTTCAAAACAGACTTCAGGATTTTTCAAGCTTTGCGGTGACCCTCTGGTCGGAAAACTTTATTTTGGGGACACCACTTGTGGGTGTGTTTGTTTTGTAGGGGGCTGTGGAGCAAAAAGCTACAAGAGAAGGAGCAGGTGCTTCTGCATTTCGCTGAAAATGGTTCAATCCCACATCAAGCCCCTGTTGTTAAAATAGCAACATGAACAGATTTAATGAGCATGTTCTTCGCATACATGCATAAATACCAACGATGGGCAGCACTAATCTAAAAGTTAGTTCCACTAGCCCTAAAACACTAACTCAAATAGTTAGGTCCCCTAATTCTAAAGCACTAAAATAATCCAGTCAACCCATGAACATTCTTCAACAGACAACATGAGTCACATATTGTCATGTTGCTCTCTTAAGACTTATCATTGACATTCCACAGCTGGATTTAGGTTCATATCACCTGGTGGATAAGTGACACACATGAACAAAATGTGTGACAGCTTTCACCGTCAACTGTTAACATTAACAATGATCAATAACATTTATAGACCTCAGTTAGTGCTTCTAAATTTAGCCTATAAAATTAGCAAGTGCTAATCCACTAATAAATTTTAAAATTAGCAAAAACCCTAAAGCACTAATCAGGAAATTAGTTCCCCTATTAGTTCTTTAGGGGAACTGTGCCCACCACTGATAAATATGGTARTCATTGCACCTACAACTAAAAAACTTGTCTGCCGCAGCTAAGTTATTTTGGCAAACACATCAACACAGTAGATTTTACAGATATTGGGCTAAAATTTGGTGTGTTAGTAGCTAAAACTGATCCCCAATGTATTATCTGAGCATTAACTGATTGCATGAGATCTATATATGTTTAAAACTTTGCAATTAACTGTTGGAATCAACTGTGTCACTGTCAGCCAAATATCCCATGAACCATCAGAAACACTAAGGTCACAATTTAATTTACATCTACAACAGAATAACTTTAGGAGTCAGCCCAATTCAAGACTGCCACCACAGCAAACAGCCTTAAAGAATGCTAAAATGGCTTAAAATCAGTCAAGTTTACAGATACTGAGCCAWGGTTTGGTGTGGTGGTGGCTGACAGGCATGATCAACACATGATCCAAGCACTGACAGATCTATGCAATATTGCACGTAATTTTATGTTTAAGTTTGATCCAAAACAGCTGCAGCTCTGTTATTTTTAATCATTTTTTATGTCTGTGTGTGGATATCTCAGTATTTATATGATTCTTTTATTAAAATTCACACTTGTTTTGTTTGTTTTGTTAATGTTGCCAAATTATTTTTCAATAATTGTTTTATATGTGGATGTTTAGCTTTATGCAAGCTTCACATTGCCAAGTGTGCAATCCAAACTTTGTTTTGTTAAAGCACGTCCGGTGGCGACTTTGGTTGCAAATCAGAGATTTTGATCGTTCCCCGCAGAGGTCTGCACAAACACCAGCAGCGTCAACAGCAGTGAGCAACCCCCCCCCCCCCCCCCCCCCC